GACTTTTAGCAGGCTAAATGCAGACATGGATATGTTGTTCTCTGTCAAGAAAAAAGGTGTCCTGGAAATTTAGCATCCACCCATTAAATCATTGTGTCAACAGTCTTCCCTAGTTTGTGTTAAATTTCGTCTGGATTGTAAAGTTTATGAAAGATTTGGTTAGTCTAGAGCACAATTTTTTTTACCAAGGATCCTCTTCCCAAAGGATGATAATGAATTTTATTGTCAAATAAGAACTGTGCTTGTTGCAAGATCTATGGATGGACATCTATGCCTGATGGATGGATAGGAAATACTCACTAGTTGGTACCCAATCTTGGTTGTCTTGTAGGCTGGGAAATGTATTGGTTTTTCCAGTTGAAAAAATGTTAGCTTTTGCGAGTTGTGTTTTGTGTGCTCATATACAATTGACGAGATGGATTTTGATTTGCACGTTATTGCAATGTAGCAGTATAATGTAGTTGGATGTAACATAGAGTGGTTGGAGAATTACTGACTATGTAACATTGTAGCATTGTTACTAAATATTTCTAACTTATAGCATTATTATGAGATGAAATGTAGAGACTGTTTGTAGCACTGTTTCTAACAATTTAACACCATGCACTTTAGCTGGAAACTTACCTCCCCCTTTTATGTCATTTGAAGTAGACAAATTACTTCCTGACTACTACATTTAGAACAATAGAACATGTCTGCATTATATTTGAATATGTTACAGTGCTTGTTCCTTTGGAGTTGCAAACATCGCTCACTTCCTTCACTTGTTGCAGTATTGGGAAGAGTCAAAGACTTCTTAGGAGTATTATCAGAAGCTAATAAAAAGCTGCAATTGGATGCAAAGGTTTGCATGTTGACCAATTACCACCTAAATTTGAATCTGAACACAAACAACTTTCATAGTTCTTGACCTATACATTCTTGTTAATTGTCATAGGACGATGCTGAAAAATATGATATCGAAGCCCTTAATGGTAATGAATCAGAAGTCATTGAATTGGTAAGTCACTCTTCCTTGTAATGTACGTGGCTGTGGATGTGGGAGCTTGGTTTTTCATTGTTCATAATGTCTTAATTTGATTTAAACAGGATCTGATGTTGGGCATTGCTGATCTTCATACTCCTGAAGCTGTGGCTGCTGCTGAATCTGCAATAATTGGTAATCAGCCTGTGATTCCATTGAATTGTAGTAGTAGTAGTAGTAGTAGTGAATCAGAGTCTGAAGAGAGTAGTGATGATAGCATTACAAGTGACAACAATGACAATGACAATGAAAAGAGTGACACTCAGAATACTGACCGTGGGAATCGATTGTCAGTTAAACTCAAAAGATCGAAGTCTAGAAGAGCCAATTGTAGAAGTGAAAGCAGAGAAAAAGGTAAATCAAATAAGCGACCAAAGATTCTAGAGCTTTCTTAAGAGCCATCTTTTGATCGCATCTGATTCGATAAAATGGATGTGTCGCTATGTTTGAAAGTATATGAAGTTTCTGATGCTTGCACTGACAAAATCTTCAAGGTTGATTTGCCTGCCTAGTCCTTTAAGCTTTTGGGTAGGAAGCGATTTTGCTCAAGCTATTTCTTTCTTAGTTTAGTTCATGTGCTTTCTTGGAAGGGAAGGCGCTGTCTTTATGCATTTCTCTTATAGGAACTGAAATATAGTTAAGTTGGAATTATTCTTGATGAGATTACCAATGTTGGTTTGTATACATGATGTCGAACGTCAATACTTCAGAAATAGCCAAATTAAGATATTTTTTGTTCTATTTGGCCCCTCTTCTTTCTTTCACCAGTTCTCATATGTTGTCATGCTTTCTAAGGATAAATTCACTGGTTTTTGCTAGAGATTATGCATAGGATTCTTCTTATTAAGACAAGTTTTTTTCATTGTAAATTGTTTATCTGCAGAAATCGTTCAAATTTTCAGTGCATAGGATTCTTGCACTTTGTAGGCCTCATAATAGCGTTGTGGTCTTGGATGTTGAACATTAGATGCAGTAATTATGTCAAGAGAAAGAACTATACTTAGTTTTTTACAAAAATCAATCCTTTCCTTTAGGGATTTGTTGAATGTCAGTTTTTAAAATAATGTAACTTGATGAGTCTATGTATCACATTTATTATTAGTATCTAAAAACTATAGACTTTGACAATCTTTGTGGCATTTTAAGTACTCCTAGGTTACGTTGTGGGTATATAATACATCAAACATATAGCATTGCATGCATATAGTTTTGGGAATTACATGCTACTATAATCTTATGAACATGAATGTCAATATTATAAGTCTATGCTTGTGTGAATCGTGATTTAAGACAAAACTTAGACATATTTCGAGACTCTTAAGCATGCAAACAACTCTTAGAGAGGATAAATATGTTCAAAGATTATATGTGTGCAAGTATAGGCTACTCCTTGAAGAGAAACAAAATAATATTTTATTTAATCCTAAATAGAAAAAAGTATTATATGCCAAATTTTAATTTTCTACTAGAAATATCAAATGAAATGTCATAAACCTTCAATAGAGTGAAATAGTGTTAATAAGTTAATTCCAGTTTCACTAGACCGTTGACAATTTCCTAATCATGAATTGGGAAAATCTCATCGTAGCAGGGAAGTTATAAGATGACTCAACCCTTGCAAAAACTTAATTGAATGTCAAGTCGTTATGATAGATGATAAAGTTGAAGGCTTATTGTATTCGAATAGTAATAAGAAATGATTGAGGTCAAAATCGTGATTCCCGTGTAGATCTTCCTAATAAACTTATAAATGAATCTACAAAAATGTATAAATACGAAGATTCAGATCTTCCCAAATGGCAAAAAGTTCACCTTTCTGAGTTTGTAGCTATGATATGTCAGCCCGATCAAGCATATCAACCAATGTCATTCTCCGTGGGAACCGCGGTGGAAGCCTCAAGATCATGGCATCTTCAATCTTTATTGGAATATGTGTCGCTACAATAACAATTCCACCTTTCTTTCTATGCTCTGCAATGATGTATTCCAGCAGCTTCACCCCATCATCATCTAATGCAACTGAAGGCTCATCAAGCAGCCAAATTGGTCTGTCAAGGGCCAACAATCTTGCTAGCTGAAGTCGTTTCCGTTGCCCCATCGATAGCATTCTCGCCTTCTCTTTTGCCAATTTTCCAAGCCCCATCAATTGGAGGGAAGGCAATGACTTTCCGTGCTTCCCCTCGAGCACCTCAAACCATTGAACGTTGTCGATGACGGTGAAGTTCTCTTTAATGGCATCTTTTAGTGAGAGCCAATTCAGCTGAAGCTTGTATTGATGGAACACTCCTGATTCTGTAATGTCATGGCCATTCCATAGGATCTCACCTGCAGAAGGCCGAGAGAATCCAGCTAACATTCGTAGGAATGTTGTTTTACCTGAACCATTGGTCCCGGTTAACACGAGCGCACTGCCATCATGGATCGAGACGCTAACATTTCTAAGGATTTGTTGGGCATTCCGCATGCAAGAGACCTGGTTGAGTAGAAGGCGAGGAAGTGGTGGCTTCCTGAGAGACATTGGATGATAAATGCAAAACTACTATTACTATTCACTGCAAAACACTAGAATTCTCCAAACTGTGCTCAGTCTCATAAGAAACTACACACGCCAACACTTCCTGTGGTAGAAAAGAAAGCAAGACATAACCGCATTAAGTACAAATGAAATAGTTCTTTAAGAAGCAAAATAGATTAGAAGATCCTTTGATTTCTCTTGATCCAAATCTTCCAAAAGCAAGACGTAACCGCACTACATAAACAATAAAATAGTTCTTTAAGAAGTAAAATAACGATCCTAGAAGGGTCCAAACATGTTTGTAATGACTTTTTAAGTGCTTACAAGTATTTTTAAACGCTTAAACCTCTTTTTAAGCACTTGAAAAATCGATCCAAATAGCTCCAAATCAATAAATTGCCATACATTAAACAGTCCAGCAAAACAATCAGCCTTTCTCAGCAAGCAACGAACAATCAAACACCCTAAAATACATCATTCAGGACGCCCGAGTCAAGATCAAACAATTTTTCTGTATAGCAAAAGCTCGAATATTGGTGGAAACTTTTATAGAATGCAAAACTAGGAAACAAAATTAAGATTTTGTTTTTCCCTGTTGAGAAGCTATTAAAGATATTATCCAACTCACTGCAGGGTGAATATATGCAGATGGGCGATGCCAAAGATGTAGAGCCAACAGGGAAAATGAATGAACACATAGAATAGATGATTTCAAATGGTGGATACAAGATTTGGCTTCAATGGATTGCCTTGAAAATTTTCCAGTTATGTACTAAAAAGATATTAAATCTAAAATTATGAGACAGTTCATAAACTTATTTGACACCTTCAAACCTGAGATAACTATTTGATATAAAACTAAATGCTCGATGAACTATAAGATCCGATCTAAAAGTTAGGATCAATTAGAAATAAATAAGAAATTTGAGAGACCAAACTAGCTATTTAACCAAAATTATACAAATCATATGCATGAGTGCAACGGAAAAGGAAAGCAAACCAACAATTCTGCATCATTGATCCTTTCTAACAATCCCAATTATCCAGAGTAATACAGATAGATGTATTAAATCATCTTCAAAATGACGAAGGAGATGCAAAGATTACCTCAACGAAGTTCTTCTCTCACATAACCTTGAAGCAATTTCACGATAAATGGATTCCAAATTCTTCAAACGAATTTTGAAACAGTATTGAAGCTGATTAACTGGAAAACAATTGAGAAATCCCAAGTGAGGTTGGTCTCAACAGAGAAATGGCGATGAGTGCATCCAGCGATCCGCAACTGGAGACCGACGGCGGCGGCAGCGGCGGCGGAGAGGGATATAAGAGAGAGGAAAGAAATTAGAACAGCGTATGCAGCTGCAGAAAAGATGGGAGAGGGAGAAAGCGGAGAAAAAGAACAGAAGATTGGTCTCGAAAGGCCCACCAAACCGGCCCAGCCCATTTTATACAACAAAGATCAAACAAAGGAAATTTCTTTTGCCCTCGCCTTCTCTTCCCATTTTTCGAAAGCATCGCCTAAAATCCGCAGCGGCGTCGGCGCCGACCGTCATTTCTCTCGGCAATCGGCTAAAATCTGTAACAGTTCGAAAGAGGAGATTTGGTGCTATCAATCAAGATGCCTCTTTACGATTGTATGCTTTTGATGAAACCCCATGTGAGGAAGGAGGCATTGTTGGATTTGGTTGCTAGAGTGGGCAAGCATGTGTTCAGAAGAAATGGGGTTGTCACTGACGTTAAGTCGTTTGGAGTTGTTCAATTGGGTTATGGCATTAAGAAGCTTGATGGAAGATATTTTCAGGTGATCTTTGATTTCTGTTGTTTTCTTGTTGAAGCTTTTATCATACTCCGTTTGTTGTTCTTGTTAGCTGGATGGTTTCTGTAAATCTCATGAACACTGTGTTAACTGAGCATTGGATACCTTTAATTAGCTTGTTCGCGTATTCTAAGTGGCTATGGTTAATTTAGTTGAAGTTCCCAGTAAACCTTTGTACTTAAGAACTGCAAATCATTGAAATGGTGGCTGTATTTGCTCATGGTTAATGATGTAGAACCAGTTTACTCTCATAAATTAAGCCTATAAACACTGCTTTAATTCATGAATTTTGTTTTGGTTTTGTTATCTAATCTCTATCAATATGTTCAAAATTCAAGCTTAGTTGTGTGAGATTCCACATCGGTTAGAGGAGAACAAAACATTTTTTACAAGAGTGTGGAAACCTCTTCATAGCCGACGCGTTATAGAAATTGTTAGGGGAAGTCCAAAAGGGAAAGCCCAAAGAGGACAATATTTGTTATTAGTGGGCTAGGGCCGTTACAAATAGTATGAAAGTCTGATATCGGGCAATGTACCAACGAGGAGGCTAAGCCCTGAAGGGGGGTGGACACGAGGTGGTGTGCTAGCAACGATGCTAGGCCCCGAAGGGGGTGGATTGGGGTGGGGTCCCACATCGATTGAAGAAGGGAACGAGTGTCAGCGAGGACGTTGGACCTGAAGGGTGGTGGTTTGTGAATTCTCACATCGGTTGGAGGGGAGAACGAAACATTCTTTATAAGGGTGTAGAAACTTCTCCCTAGCAGATGCGTTTTAAGAACCTTGAGGGGGAAGCCCGAAGGGGAAAGTCCAAAAAGGACAATATCTGCTAGCTAGCTTGGGCTGTTACAAGATTTGTGAGCTAAAAAGAACGTTTTTTTTTTAATAAAAAAATGGATTTTTATGAAGAATTCCGTAAGAAATTACTAGAAAGCAAGCATAAATTTCAAAAATAGAAAACTAAAGACCAAATCGTTATAAAACTAGATAATAGCTTTTGGCTTTTGATATTGGAATGAAAGAAATGTCGTGATTTTGAGATTTCTTTTATTATGAAGAAGTAGGTGAGTTTCTTCAGTTTCAGGCTTTTGTATGTTAACTCTATCTGATGCTTTCCAATAGAGCAGTGACCCTAATAAGTCCTCTTAGTTATTACTTACTACACATATTTCTTATAAATTGTTCATAATTCAAGGGAATCATTATCTATTCTCTTAATATGAATGGGTCGTCCGACGTTACTACATCTAGTTGCCAAGATAACTCGTAGGATATTATATTATAAGTAGATGGTTTCCATAGCTTAAACTCAGAACCACAAACCTCCCATCTATGTAGTGAGTTCTTCCTTCATGATTGTCGTCACCTCAAATGAAGCTTCTGATATCGTAGCTTCAGTCATCTAGCCACCTTATTGGGGACCTCAACAATAGAAAAGAAGAAGGTTGGAATGCTTGAGAAGATTACTCAGACTAGGTTAATTGGTCTACTCTTAAGCGGTCGTAATTATGCTATGATATGGGTCAAAAAACATGCTTACAAACCTGCATGATTTAAATGTTAATCATCCCCTGAATATTGACTCCTGACCCTATGATCCTTGTATATAACTTGATGGCTATTAGACCCAACTAGCTGAATATGACTCAGTTGGAACTACCAAAAGTCGAAGTCGATACCCAAACTCTGTTGTGTGTCATGAACACAATATCTTAGGAGTTCTAACTGGAGCTTGTGTTCATCTGATGTATTGTCAAGTTTCGTGACGCTTTTGTGGGATCGACGAAAAAAATTTGATCTATTTATTTGTAGTGGATGTCTGAATCAATCAATGACATTGTTATTCTTTCTTGTATGGTAAAGGGGCAACTTATGCAGATGACGATGATGGCCACTCCGAACATGAACAAAGAGTTACATTACCTGAACAAGGAAGATCGGTTGTTGCGTTGGCTTTTAGTGAAGCATCGTGACACAAAATATGGCCTGGAATTCCTTAGCGAAGACGATGGAAAGAATGAACTTAACAAATTTCCTCGATTTAGCATGATTGGTGATGACGACGCAGATGAAGAAGACGACGATGACGACGATGACGACGTGGAGCAAGAAGGAGAGAGGAGAGAAGAGTGAATTTTGGTTGTCTCTATTATGATAGCGCAGGTATGAACTTAGTGAAGGGACCTCTGGTACCATTCTTGTGATATTGTAGGCAGACAAATAAAGAGATGGGTGGTTTCTTTAGTTTGTCCATATCATCTGATTCTCTGAAACAAAGATCCATAAGTGCCTTTTGCCTGTTTGGGGGATGTTTTTGTTGAGATGTCAGGTCTTGGGTTCGAACCTCTAGATGAAAAGTTTATGTAATGAATATCTCATCTTTTAAAACTTAAAGGTAATACATGCATTAACAACAATTTTATTTTAAGTAATATCAATTCAAATATAGTTCCGTGGTGTGTAATATTGCTGTGAGGGTGACGAAAATAAAGTTCAATTTATATAAATTTCGTTGTGTGTGCTCGAAGTAGAACTTTCGTATAAATAAGTTCTTTTCTTTTTAAGATGTAGACTATATGTTCCATAATAGGTTCCATTTCTCTACGGGAGTCCCATTTTCTACACTTTTCCAAGAGTGATAACTTTTCTGTCTTATTGATTCTCGACATTAAAAGTGTTTTCTCTCTTTAGTTTGAGACCTCCCATATATGTTATTTAAAGTTGAGTGTAACAACCCAGATCCACCGCTAGCAGATATTGTCCTCTTTGGGCTTTCCCTTTCGAGCTTCCCCTAAAGGCTTTAAAACGCATCTGCTAGAGGAAAGTTTTCACACCCTTATAAAGAGTGTTTTGTTCTCCTTCTCAATCAATGTGGGACAACACATATAACCCGCGCACAAATCAGGGCATATGCAACGACCAGTAAAGAGATGGGAACATCTAGCACCATGGTGATAGGTACGCTTTCTATACTATGACACTTCGCATTGACGTTGTTTGATTCAGGTTCTACCCATTCGTTTGTTTCTTTGCCATTTGTTAGTCAAGCAGGGTTCGTAGTAGAACCCTTAATGCATGTATTGTCGGTCGATACCCAGCAGAGGTAGACCTAGTCACGAATAATAGAGTAAAAGACATACAAGTGGTAATAGTTGGACGAACCATCCACGTAGACCTAAAAGTAGTAGATATGATGGATTTTGACGTCATACTAGGAATGAACTGGCTAGCCAAAAACTTTGCTAGACTGTCATAAGAAAGAAGTGGTATTCACATCTCCAAATGGACTTACCTTTAAATTTAAAGGAACCTTCACAGGCACCACCCAAAAATAATATCGATCATGAAAGCCAGACACATGGTACAACAAGGGGGGTGGGCGATTCTAGCATGTGCAGTAAATACAAAAGGAAAGGAGAAAACAATAGATACAGTACCCATAGTAAACAAATTCACAGATGTCTTTCCGGAGGACCTCTCGGGAATCCCTCCATCGCAAGCGGTAGACTTTGGAATAGAATTGGAACCAGGAATAGGACCCATCTCTAAAGCCTCATACAACATGGCCCCAGTAGAACTAAAAAGAACTTAAATCACAACTACAAGACCTATTAGATAAAGGCTTCATTCGACCGATACCACTTGACACAATTGCACTTTTGAAGGCAGCGGACTAGCGATTGTGCGGCACTCACTTTCCAACGACAAGTGAGCTAAGTCAATTTGTTCTTGCGTTGCCAACGGCCAAGCAACGTATGATCGAGCCTCTAGCCTCGGTTTTAAAAGAAGGTTTTTAGAAAACGAGGGCAGATAGAGATTTTAGAAAGAGAGATTTTAGAAAGAGACGTTATATAAGCACTAAACAATGAAGAACACAATTCCCACAACAAGCGAATTTTCGAGCCGTTAGTGTTCTACAATTGGTGCATGGTGATTTGTGTGGTCCAATTACTCCAACAACTCATGGAGGTAATAAATTCTTTTTGTTGTTGGTAGATGATTTTAGTAGATATATGTGGATTGAATTGCTTAAAAATAAATCTAATGCATTCTTGGGACTCAAACGTGTAAAAAATAAAATTGAAACTGAATCCAGAAAGAAATTGCAAGCGCTTAGAACTGATAGAGGTGGAGAATTTACAAGTATTGAGTTCAAAGAATATTGTGAGAGCAGTGGAATTAAAAGATATCTAACAGCACCCTATTCTCCGCAACAAAATGGTGTGGTTGAACGACGAAACCAAACTGTTATTGCAATGGTGCGAAGCATGTTGAAGTGCAAAAATTTGTCGATGTATTTCTGGACAGAAGCGGTGAAGACAGCTGTCTACATCCTTAATAGATCCCCAACGAAGAGTGTAATTGAAGCAACTCCTTAAGAGAAGTGGAGAGGAAGAAAGCCTAATGTAGAGCATTTTAGAGTGTTTAGAAGTCTGGCGTATGCAAGAAATACAACACCAAATTTAACCAAATTACAAGACCGAAGTGTGTCAATGATCTTTTGGGATATGAAGCAGGTTCAAAAGCTTATCGTTTGTATGATCCTAAAGCGAAAAGACTTCATATCAGCCAAGACGTCAAATTTCTAGAAGAAGAAGAATATAAATGGGATGTGCAACAATTGGAAGAAAATAAGAAGGAAGGTGATAAATTCGCGGTTCATTATGGTCCACAGGTCTATGTGAATGACGAGGACATTTTAGAAGAGCGGGGAGAATCATCAGGGACTCTATTGGAAGACGATTCATCACCAGCAAATGATTTATCACCAGAAAAATTTCGATCGTTAAGAGAAATTTACTCTAGTTCTATTGAGTAGAATGAAGAAGCTGGGATGTGTTTTCTTTCACTTGAGGAGCCAAATTCATATATGGAAGCAAGAGAAAATGAGAAATTGCAGCAAGCAATGCTAGAAGAGTTGTTTGTTATTGAAAAAATGGCACGTGGGAGTTCGCAAAACTACCAAAAGGACATCAAGCAATCGGGTTGAAATGGGTATATAAGTTGAAGAGAAATTCGGATGGGGAGATCGTGAGGTATAAAGCCCGTTTAGTCGCAAAGGGTTTTGCCCAGAAATATGGAACGGAGTTTGATAAGGTATTTGCACCTGTTGCAAGGCTTGAAACAGTGTGAGTCTTGATTGCTATAGCAGAGCAGAAGAGTTGGGAGATTCATCATATGGATGTCAAGTCTGCGTTTCTTAATGGTGAGTTGAAGGAAGAGGTTTATGTAGAACTACCAGAAGGATTTGCTGTGGAAGGTCATAAAGGAAAGCATTGTATGGCTTATGTCAAGCACCTCGTGCCTGGAATGCAAAACTGGATAATTACTTAGTCTCTTGGATTTCAAAAGTGTCCTTTAGAGCATGCTGTGTATACACGTTGGAAAGAAAATAAAATTCAGATGGTTGGAGTTTATGTTGATGATTTAATTATTGAGTCAAGCAAGGATGATATTTTGAGCTTCAAGAAACAAATGAAGAATTTGTTTGAAATGAGTGATTTAGGATTGTTGTCCTATTATTTGGGATTATAAGTTAAACAAGATGTTGATGGAATCAGGTTATCTCATTCGAGTTATGCGGCAAAGCTTTTGGTAAAACTTGGAATGATGGATTGTAATCCGTGTCATGTTCCGGAGCAGAAAACAAAGCTAAGCAAAGTGAGTAATTGTCCATCTGTTGATTCCACTCTTTATAAGAGTATTATCGGAAGTCTTCGTTATTTAGTGAAAACACGACCTGACTTATCATATTTTGTCGGAGTTATGAGTCGTTCTATGGAAGCTCCGACTATGGTTCATATGGCAACTGTAAAGCAGATACTCAGGTGCGTGAAAGGAACTATTGATATTGGATGTCATTATGTGAAGGCAAAGCAAGTAGAAAATTGCTTAATCGGATATAGTGATAGTGATCTTGCTGGAGATATAGATGATCGAAAGAGCACTACGGGGACATTGTTTTTCTTATATGGCAATCCAATTATATGGACTTCAAAGAAACAAAAGATGGTGGCACTTTCATCCTGTGAAGCGGAGTATATTGCGGCGACGTCAGCTGCTTGTCAAGGAATATGGTTAGGACGTTTACTGAAGGAATTACATGGGAAGGAAGTAAATCCAGTTCGTTTAAATATCGATAACAAGTCTGTTATAGCATTAGCGAAAAATCCAGTTCATCATGATCGCAGCAAACATATAGGCATGAGGTTCTATTTCATTTGTGAATATGTGTAAAAAAGGAGAGATTGGAGTGGGTCATGTAAAAACTGAGGATCAATTGGCTGATATACTTACGAAGCCATTAGGACGAGAAAAATTTGTGGAGCTTTGAGAAAGAATTGGTTTGAAGAATATAAGAATGTGAAGATCGAAATACAAGATTAAGGGGATGATTTGTTAGTTTATTTAATCTTGTATTAACCATAATTCATTTGTATTTACGGTTTGTATTTCAAATTATGTAAGTTAAGGGAAGTTTAGCGTTAAGTGAAGTTATTAGTTAACGAAAGTTATTAGCACTTAAGGGAAATTATTAGCGGTTAAGGGAAGTTATTGGCAGTTATTAATGTGTGGCTATTTTGTCTATATATGTATCGTGTAACAAGTTGAATAAATGAGGAAGTTGGTTTTGTTTATTTTAAAATTATTGTCTTTCTTAGTTGTATGAATGTATTAGGACACCAGTGTTCCTAAAAGTAGCTCCTATGAAAGGTGTTCTAAGATTTGGACGTAAAGGTAAGCTAATCCCCCACTTTATCGGACTATAAATTCTAGAAAGAATAGGTTCAGTAGCATACAAACTGGCCTTACCACTTTCACTCTCGAGCGTACACGATGTATTTCATGTGTTCATCTTGAGGAAATATATTACAAACCCTACGCATGTGATAGACTACAAACCCCTCGAGATCGAAGAAGACTTATGTTATCAGGAGAAACTGATTAAAATCCTAGCTCGAGAAGTGAAAGTCTTACGTAATAAAAACAAAGATTTCGTCAAAGTATTGTGGTGAAACCACCAAATCGAAGAAGCAACGTGGGAACAAGAGGAGGAAATAAAGGAAAAATATCCCAAATTGATCCAGGAGTTCGAGACTTTCCAGGATGAAAGTTATTTTTAGGAGTAGATAATGTAACGGATCAGATAAAAAAACAAAAAAAAAAGTTGGCGGTCGTCGGTAGGACCGAAAACTTTTGCACACGACCCACAAAGCGGGCCCAACATCGGGGTCACCACAAAAACCAAACCGACCTCCAGCCACCTCCAAGACACCTACAAGAAAGAAAAATAGTGAGAAAATCGACAAAGCTCCAGAAAAGACAAACCCTACGAAATCAACGTCGAAACCTCCAATTTACGTAACGAAAATAATCATAGAGACCTTTACACA